TGGTATTGGTGGTTTTCAGTAGTTTGTTGTGGTTTCAGTCGCTGTCTATTGTTTGGGCAAGTGGTGGTTGACCGTACCAATGCTTTTTTGGTAATTCTGGTGGTGCTTGGCCTTTGATGGTTTTTTGTAATTGGGTTTTGGGTTTCTATAATGGTGACTAGAAGGGTTTTATATGATGCTTTTGTGATGATGATTCAAGGGGGTGGTTTGGCCGGTGGTTCTGCACTTCAGCGGGTGTCACTGTTGGTGGAAGAGATCTTGGGCTCAGTTTTATTTTTGACTATGGAGGTTATAGACAGAGTGTGTGTGTGTGTGTGTGTGTCTCCGCAGAGAGAGAGGGATACAAGAGAAAAGTGTGGCTTCCATATGGTGCCTATGGGACTCACACATGATCTTATGTGGTTCTTTCCATCCTTCTTGTTAACACTGCACAGTAGGTGGCTCATCTTAATGGTTCAGGATACAAATTGCTTAAATTAGAAAGGTTTAAGGTTATGGTGGAAATTTTGATTGGGTTTGGGAATTTCTTTGTATTCTACTCTCTTATTCTTAATTGAACAATTCTCTGTCTTCTAAATTAATATGCCAGTAGTCCTAATTACAGCCAACTAATTTCACATGAAAAAAATCCTTTCTCTAATTGACTTATTTTTACAGATATGCTCCCAACTTTAAAATTAAATGCAACTAATATCTTCTACTCATTTAATCACAGCCTCAGGATGCACCAGGGATGGGAGAACTGGCCCTTGGTCCTCTTATGTTTGGTTCTTCAAGTACACTGCTAAATGCTAGTCACTACGATGTTTACTTTAAAGGAATGCCTTCGTGGAATGGATTGGTGAGATTTTAGCTGTGAGCATCATTTTTCTTTTGGTGCATTTATCTTGTCTCTAAGTTACTCAAATTGTAGTCTAATGGCACAATAATATTCAAAGTGGCCGACCCATGCTGTGAGAAAATGCTCTGATTGTTGTTGTGTATTATCTAATTTAATTTATGGATTTTTGAAATGTTAAAGGTAAAACCAATTTTCCTTCCCACCTTCATTTTATTATATGCTCCTGCAAGTTAAACCTTTGTGTATGAATTTACCATTGCAGATTCTTCGAAGGCATGGGGATGTCTTTGAACGCACCTCTAGAGGATACTATCATGCACACGGTCGTGCTGATGATACAATGAATATTGGGGGTATCAAGGTATTTGCTTGACAGTATGGACTGTAATATGTGGTTTGAGGTTTAAGTATTCCACCTATAGGAAGATCCCCATTCTTTTCACCGAGCAACCAATGTTGTAGTTACCTGGCATAATGAACAAAAACACTTAGCAAACCAAATTCAGGAAAGAAGGAAAATAACTGAGGTGAAAAAAATAATTTGTAGCTTCTAGAAACATGGTTAACAGTTGTTTCAATGATGATACTGCACATAATGATTTTAATGCTAGTTGTAGGGTATGAATGAGTGAAGCTATTTTTGTGAGTTAATTGAGCTTGACTTGCTACCATTTCATGCTAGACTTGTTTCTTGCAGAGCTAAAATAACAGTTTGAGTTGAGTTTGAGTACTCTGATACTAAACTTGAGCTATTTGCAAGCTTCATTGAGTATTTAATTTTGTTATATATTTATGTAAAATATATATATGTCTCTGTGTGTGTGTGTGTGTGTATGCATATGTATATATCTGTAAATATAAATAAATAATTTATTTTACAAGAATGAGATTCTCATGTTCAAGCTTGAATCTAGTTCTATAATATGTGAGTCACATTGAGTTGAGTTTGATTTGATCAAGCATCTTTTTCGAGTTATACTCAATGTATGGAAAATAAAGTTTGGTTGAATTTGAAACAAGTTTCAGCTTTCAAGTCTCAAATTGGAGATGCAAATAGTCAAAGTTTGAAATGGTTAGTAGAATAATCAAAAGTGTATTTGTAAGCATTCAGTTATGAAACTACAGGTACAGGTATAATTGTTTGCCCAAACCTGTATTATAATTATATTGACCTACATCAAATTTATGTAATAAACAAATTTCTCATTTCAATCATCAAATGGTCAGCAATAGATAAACACTTTAGAATCCTGTTTGGAATTGTTTATATGAATATATAACTTGGGTGCAAAATATCTGTGTTAAATTGGGTGTTAACAAGATTCATTTATATGGTTATGGAAACTGTCAAAAGTCTAGTGCCTCACCTTTCTAGTGGACTCACCTTGATTACTGCCTTATGCTTACTAAGAAATATGTTTAACCATGAAACTGAATGTGCTATGCATCTTCTTAGATTCATTAGAGTTTTCACCTCTAACAAAGAACATAATTATTTAAGCTAATCAGGTAGCTATAATCATTTTCGCTAGGGAGAGACTGTTGAGGTTCTTTCACACTCTGAGAGAGAAATGTTTTACCCATCTTCGCATCCTTGATGCATGAATGCTGACTGATTTTTCTCTGATTGAGCAGGTTAGTTCGGTTGAGATTGAACGCATCTGTAATGCAGTTGATAGCAGTGTACTTGAGACAGCTGCCATTGGAGTGCCACCAGCAGAGGGCGGCCCTGAGCGGTTGGTAATTGCAGTTGTCTTTAAGGATCCGGATAACACAGCACCAGACTTGAATCAATTGAGAATATCTTTCAATTCAGCAGTTCAGAAGAATCTGAATCCTTTGTTTAGGGTAATTGATCTCTGCACCAAGTTGGTTTGCTATTTAAAAACATGAGGCAATTTATCCCTGATTCCTTTATGACATTGTAAATATGTAGGTTTCTCATGTTGTGGCCCTCTCAGCTCTTCCAAGGACAGCTACTAATAAGGTTATGAGGAGAGTTTTGAGGAAGCAGTTAGCTCAAGTTGACCAAAATTCTAAACTATAATTAGGAAAAAACAATATTACTTCACACTGTTGCTCACATACAATCACATGACCTTTCCTTTTTCTTTTCTTTTTTTTTTTTTTGGATCATGTATGAGCTTTTGATTCTTATTGGGAAAATAAGGCATTGACCGGCCATCATTTCTGTGCTTTGCTCAATTTTTTTTTTTTTTGAAAATTAAGGTTTTCATTCCTGTAATGAAAAGATAAGAGAGAGAAATGCCATTGCCAGTCTTCATAACTATAATAGCATATTTGGTTGGAGGAATAGTTTATTCCAAGGAATTTTGATTCTTTTATTTAGTTGAGAAATAATCTTATGGTATGACTATTCTTCAAAATCCTCCAAAACTAAGGAATAGTTAATGTCACATTCCTCACGGTATTAGCTATTCCATGATTAAGGAATAAACTCAAAAAAAATTAAAACCAAAATGCTCTTTACAAGTTTGAAAAACTACTACTTTATTTGTATCAAATATTATTTTTCTCTCTCCTTCTTCTCTCCCTTGATTCCAATTTTAATAAAATGTTAATATTTTAAAATATTAATATTAAGTTATAAATAAAATATTAACATTTAAATTATCAATTATTAATAAAATAAATTATAAATTACTCCTATTTAACAACAAAATAAATAAAAATAAATAAGCATAATATCATTTAAATTATATATAAAATATTAATAATTAAATCATCAATTATTAATATTTTAAATAAATTACCAATTATTAATATTTAAAAAATAAAATAAATAAAATAAAAATTTATCATAATAATATTTAAATTAAATAAAATATTAATATTTAAATTATCTATTATTAATATTTTAAATAAGCAATCAACTATTAATATTTAAAAATAACATAAAATAAAATAATTGATCATAATAATATTTAAATTAAATGAAATATTAATATTTTAAAATATTAATGACTAAATTATAAATAAAATATTAATATTTAAATGATCAATTATTAATATTTAAAATAAATTATCAATTATTAATATTTAAAAAATAAAATAAAATAGAATAATTAATCATAATAATATTTAAATTAAATAAATTATTGGTATTTGAAATATCAATGATTAAATTATAAATAAAATATTAATATTTAAATTATCTTTTATTAATATTTAACAATAAAATAAAATAATTGATCATAATAATATTTAAATTTAATAAATTATTAATATTTTAAAATATTAATGATTAAATTATAAATAAAACATTAATATTTAAATTATCAATTATTAATATTTAAAAATAAAATAAATAAAAATTAATCATAATAATATTTAAACAAAATAAAATATTAATATTTTAAATTATTAATTATTAATATTTAAAAAATCTAATAAAAATAAATAGTCATATAAATAATAAAATGTGTTTTTATCTTTTTATTTTTAATTTTTTTTATTTTAAAGTTATTGCTAATAACCAAACACTACAGTAAATCTAAATAATTATTCTTATCTTATTCCATTTATCCAATTCCCCTATTTATTTGCTATGCTTTCAACTTGAAAACCTGGATTAGTTTATGCAATTTATTTTCATTTCAATTTTGTGACATTGAAAAGAGGACATTTAATTTCAAAGAAGTAAAAATTATTAGTGAATGATGGATATATTAATTTTTCAAGAGTGTAATAATATTTACAATTTAAATATCAATAGAGCAACTTCATATGAGTATCGATAGATATTTAATCCAATAACATAAGGTTTAAGTATTTTATATTCAGATTTAGAGTAAATTTGAAAGATTTTTAATACTTATTTCAGGTTCAAATAGATTTTGACTGTCACCCTTACTTATCTTATTAAAAAACAAACTAATTATAATAAAATCTTTGCCTATCATATCTTAATTTAATAAGTGAATTTTAGACTTTTTTTTTTCAAAATTTTTTTAGGCTCTTCGTTGTTCACTGTTGGGCTACCTTTGGACTTTGGACTAGTTTAGACAAGTAAATGAGAAACTTTTACAACTTTGAACCGAAACAAAGCCCACCAATAAGCCGGTTCGGTTTGCTATGTTGTCTTTTTCCCCTGTCTGGCCTCGCCCACCTCCTCTTATAAAACACAAAATCCTGAAGAAACTGCTCCTCCTCTTAATTCCAGCAAACCCAGGCAACAACATTTCCTTTGCTGGAGAACTTCTCACTTTCACTTCCTCCAAAGTTTGTTAAATAATTACAGAAAATTTTAATGTGGTCATCGTCGTCGATCTCCAACCCTAATCTTTCCACTCTTTTCCTCGGCCACAAACTGTAAGCCTTCAATTTCCTTTTTTTTTTTTTATGCTAAGAATTTGTTTATAATTAAGTTACATTAAATTTTTTGGTTTAATGATTTAGGTCTTTTTGTTGAATTTTATTTTGAATTATTTTTGGGTTAATGTTTACAGTCGTCAAAATCAGAATACCAAGAATGGGATAACGTATTTCTCAACTTTTAGAAGACGTAAAATCCCTAGATGTGCCGTGGATATGCCTTATGGAGGTAATTTTACTTCTTTGCTTAAATAATGCTTTATGTGTCTGAATTCTTATTGAATTTGTTCAAATCCTCAATTTTCATATAGAGGATCTGTTGCTGTATTATTTTTATTTGTTACTTAGGTTCTGCTAATATTTATCTTTTCTCTGTAGCTCAAAGTTGGTCTTGTTTTGAAATAAATATGATAGTAAATTACTTTAAATATTCTGAGCATGGGAAATGCCGACCATCTATCAGCAGGATTGTCGAAAATGATGTCCTGAACTTATGCTGATAGAATGGTAGTCCGTATCTGATAGCTCTCGTCAGTATTTGAAGGTTTCTTTCTGCCTGTAGAAATAGGCCTGCTAGTTTAGTAACTATTATTATATGTTAAAGTTAGATGTTTTGGCTGAAAACCTAGCTTCCTGTTGAGATGAGCCAAAAGAAGGAAGAGGAATTTTTTTTGGGGAAAAATGTTATATACTGTCAAAGGGTGGTTTGCTTCATTATCTAATGAGGGACTGTTATGTGGATATTAACTATCGATGTTATTTAGGATGTGACAAACCATTTAACCTAATGGTGGAGCTGGGAATTGACTACTTACTTATCGGAGGATGCATAGGCGGTTGGTTTTACCTTTGCTATTGCTGGCTTCATCATTGTGTTGCTATGATCTTCGTGCCGCAATCATTGCATAGTTATTCAAGTTGCTGCTATGGTCATTACTAGGTCACTTTTTGACTCCAGCTTCCTGCTTCCTGCCACTGCTTTGTCACTTTTGTTATAAATGTTTTGTGACATAAAACGCTCTTAACTACGACTCTACTAACAATGCCATGAATATAAGTAATGATTCAATGACCTCCTTTGCTGGTGTTGCCACAATTTGAGAGAAATAAACTGTATTATAGGAGCATTATATTATAACTTAACACTAGATTTTCTGAGAGGGAAAGAAAGGGTAATATCACATTTCTGTGAAAGTGTTTGGTTGAACTAAAAGAAAATGAAGGGAGCAAAGTGTAAGCCGAACAAAACATTTTAATGAACTGAGTCTGTCCCTTCCAGAAGTATATTTCTCCCTTGTTTTTTGTCCGTTTTAGACATTTCTACATATAAGAATTGTCCTAAGGCTAAACTTTCTACATCTAATATGCCGATGACATTGTTTTGAAACAAAGACCTGCCAGTTGAATCAGTGTTATTGTCAAATTAGGAGGGAAGTATGTTTTACTGTTTAGTTTTTTTTTTTTTCTTTCAGTAGATAATGTGCTCAAAGGCTAAAAGTGTAAGTTATTACTTTCTTCCCTTTCGAATATGCAATACAAACACAGTGAGATTCCTTTGTGCCCTACCAAATTTTTGTTAACTATGTGGCTTATATATTGAGAATTGAGCATCTACCATCGTAAGAAAAGTACTTGTTTAAGTGGTCAAACTTATGTGGCTAGACCTGGTGTTCCTTTTGAAATGCTATATATGTAGTTGTGTTATTACATGGTTTTATTCATTTTATCTTCTTCTCTGCTGCGATACTCCCTCTAAGCCAGAAGAATGATCAAATTGAACATTTCCCTGGAGGCATTGAAATGATTTGAAATGACAATCAAAATAGTCAGGATTGCTGTTACATTTGTAGATGCACACACAGACTCAGATACTGAGACAAGAGAGATGTATGTATGTATATATGCTTATAAAATCTGCTTTAGGTGGCAGTTCCCTGTAAATTACCTTTTTATTTCTGACTGCCTTCGTCAAATATAGTTTTTCTAATATGTTTTATCCTTCTTTGTTAGGTAATGCCCCAACTTTTCCTCGAATCAGAGTTTGGGATCCCTATAAACGGCTTGGTATTAGTCCTTATGCTTCAGAGGAAGAAATTTGGTCAGCACGCAATTTTCTCTTGGAACAATATGCAGGACATGAGAGAAGTGAAGAATCAATTGAAGCTGCATTTGAGAAACTACTTATGGCCAGCTTCCAGCATAGAAAGAAAACAAAGATAAACTTGAAAAGTCGGCTAAAGAAGAAAGTAGAGGAGTCTCCACCTTGGATTAAGAACTTGCTCAATTTTGTGGAACTTCCTCCTGTGGAAGTTATTTTTAGAAGATTATTCCTATTTGCCTTCATGGGTGGCTGGAGTATAATGAATTCTGCTGAAGGTGGACCTGCCTTTCAGGTTTGTTACAGTTCTTTTCTTCATTACCTTTATTGTGATGATTACCAACTTTAAACCTTGCATGAATGCTGTACACCTCTAGGTAAAAGGATAATTTTACTCATTTAATGTGGTGCTGGAAAACATAACATTTCACTCCCACATTGAGGTCATCTACTTCTTTAATGTGGTGCTGCTATGTAAGTCTCATCTACTTGTTTAAAAGGTTTTAAATGTGATTCAAGTTTGGTGGATATACCCTTCCTGTTTTCAGAATTTTTACATTTTTCTTCTTTTATAGAAAGCTGGATATTTGTAAGGACTAGTCAATTCATGTCTGTTATGGATTCCTCCACTTGAATTCACACCATTCTGCTCCCCCCTCCCAAAACTAATTGAGACTGCTATATGAATTGGTTCTCTCTTTTCCACTTGAGCTTCGGTGCATAGCACCTATGAATGATTTTTCCTATCATGGCTTTGTTGACTAGTTGTCGAAGGTCCCAGCCAGAAAAGAAAATTGAAAGAATAATAGTAATGCTAGTAAATAAACAAAATAAAAGGGACTTCAATAAGTCAGGTTTTTATGCTAAATTGCACATTTCTATGGATGTATTGGAATCTCCTCTTATTCATTATACTGAAAAAATGTTTTTTTTTTTATTTGTATATTCAGGTAGCAGTATCTTTGGCAGCCTGCATATATTTCCTTAATGAAAAAACAAAGAGCTTGGCTCGGGCATTCATTATTGGGTAAGCAATAGTGGATACGGCTTAAATTTTCCGGCACTCTATTTCATGTGTTACTTGTACATACCTATTTTCTCTTTCTTAATCTGATCTGCTATTTTTACTCAATTGTTGCATTGCAGACTGGGTGCTCTTGCGACTGGGTGGATATGTGGTTCCATCTTTGTTCCAATGATTCCAACAGTTCTAATTCACCCAACATGGACGCTGGAATTGTTAACATCATTAGTAGCGTATGTTTTCTTGTTTCTCGCATGTACTTTCCTCAAATGAAGTCCAACCATATGTCCTACTGAAGTTTTAAAAGTAGATTGAACTTCGTTTTGCCTTAAATCTCTAAACAGGAATTATGGGTTCACCCATTTATTTCTGACATAAATCTGAAATTCTGCTTCATTCCAATTCAATTATTTACTGTGAACTAAGTAGCTTTTGGATGGATAACTTCTTCAAAGGCATTGAAGACAATTTCCGGTATGCTCTTGTAATTTCTTTTGATGCTAGATGTAGATGGTGCAGGAGCTCTTCGTTGCACAAAACCGCTGGAAAAATTTTTCCTTGACATGTATATAGCTCCGTCTGATATGTATTTCATAAGAAATCAAACTGAATCCCTATTTTGGTAAATCAACACGTGCTCCCTTCAAAACACTCTTGTGATTCTGCTAACCAGGCAACCAACTGATCCACTTAACTGGATTTTAAACCCATTCTCTCTCTTCCTTCAATTCTTATGGGAAGGAGAAGATGCCAGTTTCCTCTGACCCAGCATTTGGGTCCTTATTTGAGATGTTATTATTGAGAATAGGGTTGCTGAGATGGTGACATTGCATTATGTGATATATATGGAGAAGTGTTAATTAAAATCTTGATAAGATTAGTTTGGATGTACTTTATCAAGAATGTAGTATTAATTATCAACATTATCTTTTTATATGAAAAATTTTTTTAAGGTAAAATACTTTATCATTTTTAATTTTTAATCATAACTACAAACGAATTCAATTGATATTTTGCTGCATATGGTTAAACGGTGTTAATATTTTAAATTTTTTTCACTATGTTTTAGGCTGGTCAGTAATATTCCTTACACCGACTCGTCACCCCGTAATTGGATCTGACTCAGACTCAGTTGGATTTCTCAAGGAGCACTGAATCTGTGCTCCCCAAGGAGCACCATGTTGGAGGAGCACCTAATCGGTGCTCTCCAAGGAACACCACATTGGGGAGCACCCGATCAGTGCTCCTTGGGGACCACCCAAGGGAGGGAGATTCGGCCAAAGCCGGATCTGGCACTCCTCAACCTAAGGGGAATAGGTAGGGACAGGTTTTTTTTTAATAAAAAAATAAAAAATAAAAAATTATAATTTATATAATATTGTAATTTTTAAACCTGATAAAAGTTAAAATTATTTTTTTAATATTATTACGTTATTAAACTAACAGAAATATTAATGATAAACTAGTGGATGGATTTATGTTTTCAAATAAAAATATTCTTTTGAGGTAAATTGTTTTTTTTTTAAATTAATAGATTCGTATGAAATTATAATTAAAAATGAAGAATTGAAAGTATTTTATTTTATTTTTTAATGAAATTATTTTTAATATAAATTTTTAAATTTTAAATCTTAACTTTTAAAATAATAAATAATAACATGTAAAAATAACATAATATTCAAATACTAATTATTTAAATTTTAAAATATGTGAAGTTACAAAATTTTTATTTTTTATAGTAATGCTTGAAACTATTAAAAATTATTTTATTTTGCAATAATGTCTAGAACTATTATAAGAATAACAAAAAACATTATCCAAAGAGTTTTTTTTTTAATTTTTTTGTCTTCCAACTTCTTTGGCTAATATTTTTTTGTTTTTATTCTTTTAAATAAATAATAAATGCTTTTAGTAATATTGTTTTTCCTCTTAATCGGTAGTGATAATAATTATGATTCTTTTCAAAACATTGTTGTCCTAAATATACTTTTTCATTTGTATAAAGAAAAATGAATTTATATTTTATTCACCTAAAGATCATCAAATAATATCACTTCATTATAAAAGTAAAATTAAAAATTTAAAAGATTTTAAATTAAATATTAATAATTGAATTTAAAAACTTGAATAAAAAAATAAAAGCAATTCTTTTGTTTACTCTCACCAACTACCTCAAAGGCATTCTATTCTTGAATGCCTTTGAATTGCAAATTAACAAGAAAGAGAGGAAAAGATGGTAAAGGGCGTTAGAAAATTAGTAGAAAGAAGAAAAGAGAAGAAAGTAAGCTTGAAGCGCGTTGTAAAACGTGGGAGATTATATGTGTGGTCTTCCGTCTATATTATTTTTTATAATAATTGTATTTATTATAAATATTTATCTTTTTAAAAAATTATATTTATTTTTAAATAATTACATCTGAATAATTATCTTTTAATAAATATTAAAAACTATCTTACAGAGGGTCAGTGAAATATACGCAAAGAAGAAAGCTGACGCAACTTGATAGTATCTTTATAAATGAGGTTAATTAGAGTAGAATCGAATGAAAAAGTCAGGCTGAGTTCAGGATAACAAAAGAAATAAAAGTCAGGCTGAGTTCAGGATAACAAAAGAAATAAAAGTACTTGGCTTTGGCTGGCTGAGTTGGTTCCAGGCCTCTTCTTAATGGCTGGTGGAGGAGGGATTATGATTTGGTTGTCCTTCTTCGCGCCCATCGCTGGGCTTGCTCTTATTATTTACAGCTGACTTTCTTATGAAAACAAATTTCATTGCAAAATTTCCAACACAAGCGTGTAAGATCACGAATGAAGTGTTTAAATAAATCTGATTCTCCTATATTATTCAAAAAAAAAAATATGAGCGGGATTTGGAGAGAGATTAAAAACAAAAAAGAAAAGAAAAGAAGGGTTGAGGGAGAGTTAGAGATAGAAATATATATATATATATATATGTTTTTATTTATTAAAAAGATTATTAAAAATTTTAATTTTACTTTTTATAATCAAAGTGATATTATTTGATTATCTCAAAGCATATATATGCATCAAATATAAACTCAAAAAATGTAATTCTGAAGATACGGTTTAGATCTCTTTTTTATTGTATCTCTTCGTAGTAATTATTAATAAAACTTTTATAAAATAGTTAAGCCTTACGGGAATTTTCAACATAAAAAATATAAACTTAAAAAAAAATTATTATCGATTTTTTTTTTTGTGGATCCTTACACTCTAATGTACCAAAAAGAAATTGTTTTTCAATGATTAAATTATAAAATTAGTCTATGCATTTTAATAAAATAGTAGATTTAGTCTTTATGGAATAATTTATAAAAATTAAGATTTTCTACTTTTTAAAGTTGATAATATCAATTCAATTATAGTATTTCAATTTTCTGTTATTTATGTTGACTTGACGTTTTCTTGTTAATATGACATGAATATAATAATCTATTAATGATAATATGATATTTTTAATTTATTGCATAATTTTTTGATGCTTTAAATTATAGAGTATAGAAATTCAATTCTTCTTTATATCACAACATTCTTTCCCTGAATTCTAAAACCCTATTTGTATTTTTGATTTATTTCTTTTCCAATCTTAATTAAAATTTTTATCTCACATGGAATAATTTTATTCTTGTACTTATAAAATCTATGTCAGTGCTTGGTCACGTTACATCGATAATATTATTACATCATTCGTGAAATGTTATGTCAGATTCAATATCATATTAACAAAAAAAATCTCATCAATACAACTAAATGTCAGATCAACATACATAATAGAAAATTTTTAATACATTAGATTAATATTATCAATTTTTAAAAAATATATATAAAAACAAATGATAAATTACAAAAACTAATTACATAATTTGAACTTTTAGGATCTGTTTCCGGCAATGGCTAAGAGAATACAAATGCACAACGTATCATTGTTCTGCAATGTAGGACTTAAAGGTATAATGAAGTATGGTTTATAACTTTCTAGTTTAGCCCCTCACCTTTAATTTTTAATGGGAATTATCACATTGATCATGAGAAGAATTATTCACATAATGATATTTTAAATCACACATGAAAATCCTAAGAACAGGACGTTCCTGATTCTTTTTGTACTCATTTATGTGAACAGGCCAATTCAGGGAATCTAGCAAAGCAGGAGCAGCAGTGTCAAAGCCATAAACACCGTACTGAGTGATTAACACAAACAGAAATTGACTGTCACGAAACAATAATCTGGAATAAAATTATTAAGCCCAAGGCAAAAACAACTAATAAATTAAGAACATGAATGTTCAAATTGGTAATTACATATATGTATAGCATGAAAGGTCAAGCAAAGCCTCTCATGTATTTCTTGTTAGATCTCCGATTGCTCCTCCTGGCACAGCAACCGACAGAATATACCAAAATGAGGACCACCAGAAGAATGACGTTTATAATAGCCAAAGACCTCCACTCCTTCCTCAAGTTGGCGAGAACCCCTCCTTTGCAGGAGTTGCAGTCAAAGCATAGCTTCTGCTGGCTATTGCTCCATGTTAAGCAGTCAGGGTCTTTTGAGGCAGGACCGGACTTGGGCACATCCCAGAATGTTGCATTCTTGAGACTGAATCCACAGGGAGCTGGTGGCTTGCAGCAGCCAGCCTGCACATAATTAAAGCCATATATAATATTGGTATCTAGCAGTAGGCTAACATCGAACTGACTTTGCCTGGATGATTCAAACCCAAAAAATGCATTCAAATTCTTGGTTTTCAACATACAATTCATCACTAGCAGAATTAAAATCCTACTCTTTCGACAACAGGCAGGACAATATAAGTATCTGTTAGGTACAAGATTTCAGATTTTCTAGAAGAACCCTTAAAACTATTTGCTCTCTACTAAAGGCAATCAGTATTTTTACCATAATAAACTGAACCAAAGCAAAATATTGCTCCAAAACAACAAATTAACAAGCGATATATATATATATAAGCTTGAAGCTATGTCCAAATAGAAAGGTAACTTTAAGAAGGAAACCCTGATTAAGCAAGTATACTAATCCAAAAGCCTCTCTTGCTTCTAGAGATTAAGGATGATCAGAAAAGAGATCACTCCATGTAGTACTATATACTTTCCTTGTAAGAGCTACAGAATTAAGAAAGCTATATATTTATTGGATGAAAAACAAAAAAACAAATTAATCTCTTGTAAAACTATACTAGAATTTGTAACAATTCCAGATATGATTCATCGCAATAAAAATTCATTAAAGAACTGGAAAATATGAGAATTTGTGTAAAACCTATCATATTTGCATTTAGTCCTAATTAAGAGCTTTCATAGGCAGCACCGACCACACTAATAAAACACAATTAATACCATTTTCCACTAATTATCCTAATTAAGAAGGAGAAATTCAACGCAAATAGTAGTACAGGTTGGTATGCTATAATTCACAGCAAAGACAAAGTATTCTCTGTGCTGGACAGTAATTTCTTCGATGAATAGAATTTAAATATTCACCTCGATAATCATCACACAAATAGTATAGTACAGGAAATGGTATGCTATAATTCACGGCAAAGACAAATTATTCTCTATGTACAGGATAGTTATACTTCAATAGATAGAATTTAAATATTCACCATGATAATCGTCAGAATGATAATTTTATATATTTACCATCGATAATCATCAAAGTGATAACTACAACAAAATCAAAACTCTAAAAACAAATGTGATGCGCAAGTGTATAATTTAAAAAATCATTCTATACAATTTTAAATTTGATAATTATACATATATATATATATATTTCTAATCGAATTAGTACTTATCACGTATTTTTTTAAAATATTGATATTCTCTAAGTTATACTAGTGCAAGTGGAGACTCTCACTTTCTTTCTTTTTTTCAAAAAATTAAGAAAAAAAAATCAATTCATCAGTAAGAAATTAAGCAGAAGAAAAATAAGAAGAAATACCTGTATTCTAGGGAGGGTGTTCTTGAAAAAAAGCAAGACATTATAATTAACATCATTTCCAGCACTGTTGCAAACCTTGGCCTCAATCAAACAACTCCTAATTTGATTCCAGTTCTTGTCATTAACAAAATGATTCTGCAACCAATTAGAGAAATCCCCAGTTTTATATTCCTTATACCCTCGGTCCGAAAACGCCTTCCCAGCACCAGGATTGGTAACCAGAAACACGAAAACAGTGAAAGCGATGAGACCAAGTATCAGCAGAAACATGACGGTCAAGTAAACAAACATGAAAAAGTTGTTCTTGCAAAGAGAACCGATCAACCCCAGCAAAGAAACCACGACCAGAAAGCCACCCAGTATAAGCAACGGATCCGTCATAACTTTCTCGCAATGACTGCTCCCGTGGACGACGAAGTACACCCCAAAGGACAGGGCAACGAGTCCTAGTAACAGCAACAAGACGTTCACGAACCCTACGATGAAGTTGCTAACACGAACCATAATTGTTATTGCAATAACAATTAATGGCTTCCCTTTTTCTAATTCTCTGGAAATTTCCAAAAGGTTTGCTTTCAAAACAAAGGAAGAAGAAAATATTGGATTTGGCTTTGGGTTTTGGTTTCGGTTTCGGTTTTGTTCTCTTTCCGTTTCTTTGATACTAAAGAGAAATCCAAACAACCAGCGAAGAAAGGGAAATCTCTGTTCTGGTTTCTTTTGGTTACGTCTGTAAAACGGTTTTCTTTTTTTTTTTTTTCAATTTAAACTATAATAACTCACTTATAGGGTATTATAGTCATTTTATATCTTTTAACTGCCCTTTTTTTATTTTACTATCTATTAAATGAAAAACATGTATCTGTGTCCTCTTTTATATTTTAATATTTTTCTCTTATATTTTTTAATAAATCTATATCTTAAAATCACTCCTCGTAAATAGTTTGATTTTTTTTTAATTTTAAAATAATAGTTTAATCAATTTTATTATTTTTTAATTCAATTCCTAAGATTTCTCTTTAAAAACAAAGCCAGTTTCCTTTAATTAAAATCTCATGTTTCAGTGGCCCTCCTCCCTTTCTTCCTCTCTTTTTAGAGTTTTTTTTTTCTTCTTTTCATTATCTCTTTCCTTTTCTTTAAAATCACAGAACAAATAGTAAAAATAAATTAAAAAAATTTATATATTATTCTAAACAAGTTTTAAATAAAAAAAAAAAACTTCTCAAACGATTATGAACAGTTGTAAACATTGCATGCATCATACAAATACTAAGAAAACTTAAAACAGTGAAAACAGCTTAAATCTTTTACGATTTGAAACTTATATACAAAATTTTTAAAGTTAAACCATTTATAAAACTAATCTTCTAATATGAAATGAACTCCACGGTTTTATTCTAATTAGGAGGATTTGTAATCTCTTTTCTTGTGGGGTCTATTGAAGTCGGAATTTTGCCAGGTGGCGGAAGCCCGGAACATGCACATCATATGATTTAGTGGGAAATGTACGATTTTGACTCTTGAAGGCGTTTTGAAACAACGTGAATAGTGGTGGCCTTTGCGTGCGGTGGGACAGTTTGATTTTGACTTAGTTGAATTGAAATTTTGGATTTTTTTTTTGTATTCTATTCTAGGTTTATTAATATATAGTAGGAGGTTTAATATTAATATTTAAAACAAAATTTTCTGCCAAAATATATAAATAATAGAAGCACAAGTAAAAAAAGTTTGATATATATTTTAATTTCACTTTGGGGGTCACATTAAAAAAAAAGTATATGGTTATATTCTATGCTGAAGTATATGATGATTGTATCCTACGCAGTAAGGATATTCGTTTGATGTAAATATCAGTGAGCTTCAAAAATGGTAGGTAATCCAGCCTAATCCAATCCTACTGTATCTGCTAGCATTAGATTTTAAGCCTGATTTCATGTCTATATACGTTAAACTGACTGCCTTGTTACTCTACAAGACGTTGAACGTATGTACCAAAAAATATGATCTTTCTCAGGTTAAGGATAGAAACATTATGTTCGGATAAAACTTTATTTTTTAAAAAAAGATAAACATAATTTTTGGATAAATTAAATCACTTGTGATTTATAACTGTTCTTAAATCAATATATATCTTTTTAAAAAAACTTTTTACACTTTTTATTTAAATTAACATAATTAAAAATTCTCTTTCTCATAATGTGTGATATATAGTTAAGTTAATTAATTTTATACACTCGGCTTTAGATTTTAGAATTATTGTTTTGCTTACAATATGGTTCGTCTAATGAAACAGAGAGATGTAATAAAATGATTATTCTGTGGAAATAAAATAAAACAGAAATAATTTATATAGTTTAATTTATAAAATGAAATAACGTAAAAATTGTTATTGTAATTCATTTCAATGTTTAATTAGTAAAATGGGTTTTTGAAATAACAATATTTGATTTTTAATTTAAAATATTTATTTGCTATAATTTATTGAAAATATCAATAAATTTTTATTTAAAAAATAAGATTATTTATTTTTATTTTATTTTTAAATATATTAATTTATAATTTGTTTAAAATATTAATAATTTATAATTTAAACATTAATATGATTATTTTATTTTTAAAATTTAAAACATTAAAAATTTATAATTAAAATTTTAATTTTAATGTAAAATTTGAAATAAACATTTTTATAATTTATATAATTAAAACTTTAAACTTTTTTATTTTAAATTCATTTTGATTTTTTTTTTAATCTTCATAATCCCCTTCCATGAGTTCAATAATATTCGAATCCAAGTATATGTACAGTTGGACTTCCTCAAGTTCATATAGCAAATGAGAAAAAAAAAATTGACTCCAAAGGCTATTGAGAAGGATCAGGCAAGGATAAAACTGGCGTAGCTTCAATGCTAGGCTGAGCTTCGTTAAACCAGTCCGGTAGACCATCGGTTTTCTAGGCTAATGGCAACCACTTCATTATTTGACCGGATATATATGTACTATTCAATTGTCATTATGCTCCAATAAGAAGAAGGAAGGTTTAATCTCCTGTTACATATTGAGAATTAGAAGTGTGCTTCCTAGCATTTCGTTTCCTGTACACATAGGATGTCCAAGCCAGCCTCAGCAAAATGGAAGGGAAAGACTTGCCTTTCAATGTAGATACAATCATATTATTTCCCAGAGAAAAATAAGTATGATCCAATCTCCAAAGCTCCTCTGAAACCTGTACATCTTTTGAACTAACTGCAAGAGAAAAATATAAGTGGTCTCTGCTTTCCTCCTCAGCATTGTCAAGAGAGCAAAAAGTAGTCTGAACTGGATTCCCATGCATGAAGTCTGGCGAGAGTACATAATCTGTCGCATACTGCCAACCAAGCAATGAAGAAAAACTAAGGCAAACGAAGCTGACGCCAAATCAACCTATGCCGACGGACCTTAGCATGTTTATCCCTTAGACATTGCCAGGCATCAGATATATATAGTTAACCCTGGTGGATTATGTGGAGATAAAATCTACTGTATAATAGGCAAAAGAAAATACCATGTTTATGAATTCAATCTGCAATTATTTATATATATATATATATTTTTATATATTACATAATCTTGAAGAATTATGTTTTGAAATAATTCTCTATAGGAAAAAGAATATTAAAGCAGTGGTATCACAAGTTCTCTTGAAACCTATTAAGCTGAGTCGCAATGGTCTTCCGTTATCTCGTTTATTTTTTTGCGAATGACTTGATTCTTTTTGCGGAAGCCACTGCCTCACAGATGGAGATAATTAAAGGAGTTCTAGATGATTTCTGCAGAGGTTCTGGGGAAAAAGTTAATGTAGGGAAGTCTTCATTCTGCTGTTCGAAGAATGTCAGAACAGGTAGTATTAATGCAATTGCTGAATGTTCAAGCTTCTCTTACACAGAAAACATGGGAAAACATTTGGGAGTTCCCATTCTCCATGGACGGAATGACGCCAGCTTGTTTAGGCATCCGGAAGAAAAGGTTCGTAGTAGATTAAGTTTATGGATCGGAAGGCCTCAGCTCTTTCCTTTGCAGGTCGACTAAACCTAGTCAAATCATTGCTGTCGACAATACCATACTATACAATGCAAACTATTGCAATTTCGGCTAACATATGTACGAAAATCGAGACACACTGTCAAAATTTTCTATGGGGAGGAGATGCTAATACTCGAAAGATGCATTTGATGAATTGGCAAAGTGTTTGCCGACCAAAAGAAGAGGGGGTCTCGGCATTCACTGCATGAGGACGATGAATAAAGCCTTTTTGATGAAAGCTTGTTGGAATATATTGTCAAACGTTGATGCTTTATGGGTGAAGATTTTACGGCACAAGTATAAACTTGGGTTTGTCCTTGATGCCTGATAGTACACAGAGAAGTGGGACATCTGCGTTTTGAACTTCAATTACTAGGCTTTGGCCTAAATTCAAACAAAATGGTGTTTCGACAAGGTTTTGGATAGACAGGTGGCTATATGATCGTCCCTTAGTTGAAGCAGCTCGTTCTATGGGAATTTCTATTGAGGATAATAGTTGTGTTAAAGAGTTTATTCTTTCGAATGGGGATTGGAACATGGACAGGGTGGTGAATTTATTACCACCTGAGGAGCTCAATCTGCTATCCGAAACTCTTCCACTTACTTCTACTTTGAATTCAGATAAACCATACTAGGCGCCATCCTCCTCGAGTTTATTTACAGTCTCCTTAGCTTATGAGGCCCTACAAGGCAGGCGTAGATTAAATGGAGAAACAAATAGTGGCATTTGGAACCTAGCATGGAAGTGGAATGGTCCTGAACCAGCTTGTACTTTCATATTTCATGGCCTGCACAATTCGCTTCTAACAAATATAGAGAGAGTTCGAAGGAAATGTTTGGTTGATCCACATGCCCAAAGTGCTAAGTAGAAGAGGAATCTTTGTTGCATACTTTGAGAGATTGTCCCACTTCTAATGTACTGTGGGTTAGACTGGTTCCACAAAATCTACAAGGTATGTTTTAGGTAAACTCCTTATTAGATTAGCTGTCGCATAATCTGAGCAACAACTAAATGGTGTTCCATGGAATATGGTTTTTGGCATAGCATGTTGGTTCCTTTGGAAATGGAGGAACTATTTCATCTTTGAAGATAAAAAAATTCCTACAGAGTGCCTATTGGTTTTAATTCAAAGCTGGGCACAACATTCTCATTCAGCTAGTATGGTTAATCCTTTGGGAGGAAGTTTGCCCAAAGAGGAACGACTGATCGGTTGGCTTTTAACTCTGGTCGATTGGATTGCTCTATATGTTGACGGAGCTTCTAATCTTTCTTCCCATAAATCAGCAGCGGGCAACGTCTTAAGAGATAGGCAAGGTGACTGGAAAGGAGGCTTCACACTTCAACTGGGGAAGTGCCAGCATATAGGGTGTTTACAAAGGTTGACCTTCAAGTTGATATATAATAATTAAGATAGTTGTCAAACTATAACTACTTCTTTGTCTCATCGTTGGTCGAATGCAGATTTGATTCAAGCGATTTAGGATCTGATGCAATGTCAATGGAAAGTGGTTACACATGTTTTTAAGAAAGGTAATAAAGTAGCTCATTATATGGCAAATCAAGTCTCCATTAAACAAGAAATATTCGTAGTACACTCTAATCCATTTAAGATGTTAGAGTTTTATTGATATATGATGTAATGGGTACAAGTGTACCTCAATGATTAATATATGTATTGACTTCTTATAAAGAAAAAATTTAAGCTGTAAATTAATGATTTTCTTTTAAATAAAAGAGCTAATATTTTAATGTGGAATTCTTTATTTACGAAAAATGTAGAATAAATGAAGGAAAGTTGAAGATAATTTCAAATGAATTGAACTCGGAGCTCTAAATTAACTATGTGCTATAATTCAGATACTAGACCTAATGATCTCTAACTTGTCCACCATTTCATGGACTGGGTTTCTAGACCTACTGAGGTTTAACAAAAATGAAGAGGAAAATGATGAAAACTCAGAAGATAAGCTCTATTTATATCTAAGCAGCGGTGTAATTTTTCTCATCAGCTTTCCTGTTTTTTCTAATGCTGCAACCAATGTTGAAGGTGATGAGGACTAATACAAGGATGCAAATGTTAAGAATAGCCAAAAGTCTCCACTCTTTCCGTATGTTGGCCAGAACACCTCCCTTGCAAGACTTGCAATTGTAGCACAGCTTCTGTTTGTCATTGCTCCACGTCCTGCAGTCGCTGTCTTCCACGTCCGGCCCTGATTTCTGCATTATCCAGAACGTCGCGTTCTTGTACACAAACTTGCAGTACATGGGTGGCTTACAGCAACCGGACTTTAAAAAACCACAGGAAGAAACAAAGAAGATTAATTGTCTGAAATATCGAAATACTAGATTTAAAATGATACTAATAATTTGAAATTTTCAGAGGCATCCTAACGATTAAAACATAATCAGATTTTAAGTTTCGAAAAGGAAATGAATTGAAAGATTAACGTGAGGCAAGAAAATTCAAATACCTGTATTGAGGACAACTTTTGCTTGATAAAATCCGAGAAGGTTGCCCGGCTGTGAAGAGTTGTACAAACATGGGAATCAATCAAACAACTTCGGGTGTGATCCCAGCTATTGTGGTTCACGAAGTTGTCACGCAACCAACCCGAATAATCACCGAGCCGGTACTCGCTGAACCCTAGCCCCGAAATCCTCCTGGCCACGCCCTTGTTAGTGACCACCACCGCGAAAAGCGTGAAACCGGTTAAAGCCAATATCACCAGCGTCATCAAAATGGAGTAAACAGCTAAGACAGAATTGGCATTACTGCAACAAGAACCAATAAAGGCTAGCAACGATACAGCGAATAAAACGAGGCCTATTATCAGTAAAGGGTTTTGGAGGGCGTTTAGGCAAACGCTGCCGCCATGCAGGCGAAAGTGGATGGAGGCAACGACGGAAACGACGCCTAGAAAGAAAGGGAAGATGTTTATAAAGGTGAAAACGGTGTTGCTAATGCGAACCATTATTGGGTTCTTTTCTCTTTTTTTTTTTGTTCAACGCTTCTTTGGTGAAGGATTTTAGCTACATATATGCGGAGAAAAAAAATTGGAAAGAAATTAGTTTCTCTCCTTTGTGTTGTTACAGTGGGGGATATAATTGAAACAAAATTACAGGTAATATGGGGATTTTTTTTTTTTTTTGAGGAAAACAGTAACCGCTTCTATAAACCAAAGAAAATCAAAATCACAGCAAAAGTAGGTTTCTTATATATAATCATGAAAGCTTCTTCTATATCTTGTTGCTCAGGCAGAGGATGCTATTTCAGCTCGGCCGGATGCGGCTTGAGGTGATGGACAGGTTCGCATTTGCAAATATAGGCAGGCACTCCGCTGCTGCTCTCCGATTTGGATCTGGTCAATGTGTTAGCAGGCACTCCGCTGCTGCTCTCCGATTTGGATCCAGTCAATGTGTTATCCATAATATAAAGGATGGAACATTCAATGAGATTTACTCTCTCCCTCTCTCTCTTTTAACGCCTTGGACGTTTATAAAAACGTGTATCACAAGAATAATGCTGGAATACTGTCCGATGGCTCCTCTGCCTTATAAAAATAACAAGAAGAAAGACTTGACATGGAATTATCATAATCATAAATAATTAGAAGCTCATTTCTTAATTAATTATTTTTAGGGAACCAAAACTTGTGAGATATCGTTATATATTCCACATCTAGTATTCCTTTTCATTGCTAAGAGTAGTATGGATCTCTTAATTTCTTTGGTTATGACATACAAGGAAAAGGGAATTTTAGGTTTTATAGTTGGAGAGGTCGTTCCTTGGATCAAATTGTAGCGAAATTGACGGTTGCAGAACGTTTTGAGACAAAATGGAATTTAGTAACTATTGTCGTTTTCCATATCCGGACACGGCTAAAGAGTGAGCTGCCTGCTTGCTATCCTCAACATCTTCGGTTTGGGTTTAGCCCATTCCTGTTCTCTAAAGACAGACCCCAAAAGGGAATAAACCAAAAGGAGGCTACACGTGTCCATTTTCCACCGCCGATCGGGACCCACAATCTTAAGAACAGAGTTGAACCTCGTGCACACATGACACCTAACTAGTGTTTACAAGTGTAACTAACCTCGAAGTCTCAACGTCTTCCCTGTCTGCCCTCACCAACCGCCAAGGCAAAAACACTTTTTTATGCACCATTCTTTTTTTAATTTTAAATTAAAAAATGAAAGAGAAAAGCAACTACTAACTCAGAGCACAGCTGCATGCTATCTACTGGCTTGCTTTCATCGCCACTTGACGGATTTCTCGACGTTCCTTCCTTCCCTATTTATTATTCCCTTCTGAACCCTAACTTTCCCTCACTTTCCTTCCTTCTTTCCAAACACTCCCCTTTCCCCTAGCTTCACTCTTCTAACCAAACATGGCCTTACCGACCCAAACTAATCTCCTTCAAAAACCGTTCCTTTCCCCGCCTTCTCTTTCGCAACCTTCCGCATTTTCCGCCCCAGTGGCTATCCCTTTCCGAAAATTCCGGCCTGCTTCTATCCAGTGCTCCGTAACAGCCGCCCCGTCGGTTACTGTGACGGCGTCAAAGGAATGCAAGGTCAAATCAGTCAAAGCTAGGCAGATCATTGACAGCAGGGGCAATCCGACGATCGAGGTTGATTTGATCACCGATGATCGTTATCGATCGGCCGTCCCTAGCGGCGCCTCTACCGGGATCTATGAGGCGCTGGAGCTCAGGGACGGTGACAAGAGCGTCTATGGCGGCAAAGGTGTGCTCTTTGCTGTCAAAAACATCAATGAAGTTTTGGGTCCTAAGCTTGTTGGTGTTGATGTTAGGTAAAAGTAATACTTTTTCTTAGAAGCAAAATATGCAAATAGCAAAAGTAATAAGCTGAATAAATGACTTTGATTTATGTCTTTAATAGCCTCGTTTTTCTAAGTACTGAAGTTAATGACTTTTTCTTTGGAAAGAAATCAAGCGGATGTAGATGCTGTTATGCTGGATATTGATGGGACCCCAAACAAGTCAAAACTTGGAGCTAATGCAATATTGGGAGTGTCATTGAGCGTATGCAGAGCAGGTGCTGGGGCTAAAGGGATGCCATTGTACAAGCATATCCAGGAATTGTCAGGAACAAAGGAGCTTGTTATGCCGGTTCCAGCGTTCAATGTAATCAATGGCGGAAGTCATGCTGGAAATAATTTGGCTATGCAAGAATTTATGATACTACCAGTTGGCGCAACCTCCTTTGCTGAGGCGCTTCGCATGGGAAGTGAAGGTTAGCTGAGTAACTCTTTTATCTATGCTGGTCTGTTGATGTAGTTATATCTCAGTAGCTAATCTTTCGTTCTTTTTATATGGACTTGGATGTCAAGTTCGATTCTTATTTTGCACATATAGGCTTATGTTTTAGGTTTACAAACTCACGTTCACTGCAATTAGTTTGGAATTGTCATAAATTTCTACCATTTCTAGATTTATGGCCATTTATTTGTACCTCGGAATTTTCTTCAGCATATTAAAAAATCTGTCTTTGCATAAGTGGATAATACTTTCTTCTTTTTGAGGATACAGTTTATCACACACTAAAGGGTATTATCAAAGCAAAATATGGACAAGATGCTTGTAATGTTGGAGATGAAGGGGGATTTGCTCCTAATGTTCAGGACAACAGGGAGGGATTGGTTTTGCTAATGGATGCAATTCAGAAGGCTGGTTACAGTGGAAAGGTAGGAGATAAAACTTTGTTCTTTTCTATTTTTATAGTTTTGCGATCTGCTAACAGTGACCTGAAAAACATTTGAAATTGCAGATCAAAATAGGAATGGACGTTGCAGCTTCAGAGTTTTTCACCAAGGATGGAAAATATGACCTGAACTTTAAGAAACAACCAAATGATGGAGCTCATGTGCGCTCAGCTCAGAGCTTGGGTGAACTCTACAAAGAGTTTGTCAAAGACTTCCCTATTGTGTCTATTGAAGATCCATTTGACCAAGATGACTGGAGCTCATGGTCTTCACTACAGTCTTCTGTCGATATCCAACTTGTTGGAGATGACTTGTTAGTAACAAATCCAAAGAGAATAGCTGAAGCCATTCAAAAGAAGGCTTGCAATGCCTTGCTTCTTAAGGTAAACATCTAAGCTAGTACAATCCAGTCCTTTCTTGGGATTGTCTCTTACATAGTTCTTTTAACACAATTCTTCCTTGCCTAGTTCTGTTGATTACTGGGATTGCTATTCGAACATTCAATTCCTTGCTTGTGTTAATGTAAGAGGAGATATGCGATAGCTTATTCTTTGTTACTATATATCACAGGTAAACCAGATTGGCACAGTAACCGAATCTGTTCAAGCGGCACTTGACTCAAAAGCTGCAGGATGGGGAGTGATGGTCAGCCACCGAAGTGGTGAAACAGAGGACAACTTTATTGCTGACCTTTCTGTTGGTTTGGCTAGTGGCCAGGTACACCATTTGAAATCCTTAATTTCTAATAGCATTTTATCAGCAATGCATTCTTTTATTTTTTTCAATGCTAGAAGATGACGATTGTTGTTCTTTTGTATAGATCAAAACTGGAGCTCCTTGTAGAAGTGAGAGATTGGCCAAATACAATCAGGTAATCTGGGAGCTTTTCTTCTCCTCTATTCCATCTAGTGTACTCTTATACCTATGGCACACTCGTTTGTGACATGGATCTTATAGACTAACAGAGAGCTGAATGATTTTGTATAATTGAACAAGACCAGGGGAAGAAAATGGATTCAGACCTTGGACTATGACCCTACACTAGAGACTAACAACTACTATAAGTTAATATTAATAACACTGTAGCATTGCAGTGCTGAACAAAATAAGTTGAATTCTCTTGGCTGAGAATATTACCAACATTCTAGATGATCCAAATTGATGATGGGGGCACTGTATAATCTCTGCACAATTTGATCAAAAATGGATTTGGTTTGGCAGACATTATTTCTTTCATAGCTGCACTTTGGCTAAGAAAACAGATGCGTTTAAAAGTTTGAGTGATAGCACTTTAACTCATAGAAGATGGCTTCCATACCCCCCCCCCCCCCCCCCTCACCCCTTTTACCCCCCCCCCACCACCCCCCCTTCCCCCCCCCCCCCCCCCCCCCCCCCCTCCCCCCCCCCCCCCCCCCCCCCTTCTCTCCTATCTTCATTCCTGCCATACTGGATTATGTGGTTGTTAATTGGTTTATCACTTTGATGGGGATTACCTCTCTCTCTCATTACTCTTTCCATGATTCTTAATTAGTTTTGAAGGAATAATCTCACTTTCTCCCAATCTGGTTGCAGCTTCTTCGCATTGAAGAGGAACTTGGAAATGTTCGCTATGCTGGTGAAGCTTTCAGATTTCCTTAGAGAAATTTATTGGAACAAATTTCTGCATCAAATTAGTGTCAAGAAACGTTTTTATGAGCTGTAGTGAACTGAGGCGGCCTAAAAAATTTTTCAGGGACCCTATGAGCTCCTCAAGAAAAAAACGAATTCGATCAACTAGGATAATCAAATGTTATTTTATTTCCAATTTCTGGGATCTGAACAATCAAGTTTTGCTTGAAGTTTATATTTAGAGTTTATATTGGAACAAATTTCTGCATCAAATTAGTGTCAAGAAACGTTTTTATGAGCTGTAGTGAACTGAGGCGGCCTAAAGAAATTTTTCAGGGACCCTATGAGCTCCTCAAGAAAAAACCGAATTCGATCAACTAGGATAATCAA